AATGTAAAATGGCGTAGTTTGATGAGGTTAGGTACCTAAGCTTATATAAGGTTGTTAGGTATATTTTACTTTATCCATATATATATATATATATATATATATATATATATATATATATATATATATATATATATATATATATATATATATATATATATATCCCTTTGGTTAAGCTGGTAGATTACTTTGGTCGTCAATTTGACACAATCAACTTTTGTTGAGGTTTTGTGCTTGTGTGTTCAATTGAAAAAAAAAATGTTTGAGAATGCAAGAATGAATTTGTGCTACATATTTCATCATGTTCTGTTTAAGCAATCCAACGTATCTGTGCTACCAAAGATGTAATATTTATGAGTGGATATAAAATTAAGTATATTCTTATATTATTATTGTATGGTATATTTACATATAATTATTCATATATATATATATATATATATATATATATATATATATATATATATATATATATATATATATATATATATATATATATATATATATATATATATTTTTTTTTTTTTTCTATTAGCAAACGATTAGTATACATGCATTCATGTTGATTTTTATATTCGGCTAATATTTTGTTTTCCAAAACTAAAAATGATAAAACCATCACTTTTATATCATAAGGATATAAAATTATAAAATATAAGAAAATCTCTATGAAAATATTTCTTTAACATTAGTAAATTAAAAAATTGTCTTTCAAACTGTTAAATATATATCTAATGATTAATAACTTATTATAACTTTTTATTGACTTCATCGTTATCGACTTCAATTTAATTAAGTAGTGTTCAGAACCATTTTAATTTTATATATATCCCTTTTGGTTAAGCTAGTAGATTACTTGGGTCGTGAATTTGACACAATCAACTTGTGTAGAGGTCGTTAATTTTGTACATCTATGTTAAAAAATATGATTTTTTAAAGTGAGATGTATAAAATGAATTTATAAATAAAATAAGTTTTATTCTATAAATCCATAACGTCTTAAAATTTTGATTATTAAAAAGGAGATTTAAATTTATCTAAAACTTACTTAACTATGAAACGAATTTTTTTTTAAGACTAACCGGTTTTTATAGTGTTCTACAACTAAACCGTACCTATGAGATTTTAATTTATAATGAATCACTACTAACGGTTAATAAGATGACGTTTTATTTGAAATCTAAATAATCTTATTCAAGAGATATGATTGTTATAAAAAGTACATAAAGTATTAGAAGAATGCAATACTCATCTTGATTTTTTTTTTTTTAATTTCATTACCATATGTTTTCCAAAAAAATAAAAAAGAAAAAAAAACTAAAAATTAAAAAAAAAAAAAATCATCTCTTTTTATGTCGTGGTATATATCCATAAAAAAATTATAAAATATAAGAAAATCTCTATGAAATCCTTTCTTTTAACATTAATAAATAAAAAATTGATATTTCAATTTTTTTTATATATCTAAAGATTAATAACTTATTATAACGGCTTATTAACCTCATCATTGAATTCAATTAATTAAGTAGTGTTCTTATCATTTAATTTCAAATTTTTACATGTTTCCTACAGACAACTATTTGAGCGAGGAATGCAATAAGGGGTTGTTGAGGTGTGTAGAAAGGTTTAAGAAAGCAGGGAGCAAGACATTCAAAGGCAACACATGTGATGCAAATGATGTTACCAACACCATTAAGCTTGTTATGGAAGCTGCAGTTCTGGCGGGCAGATATATTCATAAACCCTAATATAATATGCAAATCATACTCCCTTCGAGTATGGAGATAGTTTGACATGGCATAAAAATTGGACGACATTTTAGGATCAATGAATCCCAACAAAAAGAACATTATTCTTTTACAATTTTAATCAAATACATTTTGATATTGTATTTGTAGCCAAACATAATTTGAAACTGATGATAAAGCTTCTTTTCATTACTTGAAATCACAATATTAAAGTTGCACATCTTGATTTATGTTGTAGCGATCAGTATAATATTAATAGAAAGTATTTTTTAAAATCCACTTTACGTGTATATAACTATATATGTATATGCCTTTTATAAAATGATTGCATCTTATTTTTGAACAACTGGATGATTGAAACAAAAAACATCTAGCAATGATTTAGAGAAATACCAAGAAGTATTACATAAGAATCCAAATATGCGGGGTTTCATCCACTACTAGAAAATGAGGTATCAGCGACGGATTAGCTAGGGATCAACTACGGAAATTAGAAGTCTCCCTAAAACCTAAATGCTACTCAAGAAATATTGGAAAACCCATTGCTAATTTCCTATGACCTACCATATTTTGGCTGAGTTTCATTTCCCTCTCAATATTTTCGTTCCCCCGCCTCCCTCCCATATTATCGTCCTGAAAACATCCTACCCTAATTTCAATATACCATTCTCTTTACCCTATTTTCTCCCAACATTGCCGACTTTTTCCACCCCACCCCCAACATCGCCGATTTCCGCCGCCACCCCCCCCCCCCCCCCCCCTACGACAAAGAAAAGGATGTTGTGGAGGAGACACACATCGTCTGCACATACCATTTGTGCCAGCAACTTCTGTATTTTCTCTAAACCGTAAAACGGCGAGGAGTTTCAAAAATTCCAAAGAGAACAAGCAAGAAGCCACACGACCTTCGAATTTTGCCGTCAATTTCGTCTCCTAAATTGGAAATTGCTTAACATCAAATGAAGGTAACACTCCATAGATTAGCTTGTACCTTTCTAGTGTAGCTTACATGGGTACTAGCGAGTTATTGACAATTTAACCTCTTTTATTCTCGTCGTGAACCTCGATTTTTTTGTTCTTGTAGCATAAGGCAACATCACAAGACCGTTCACAAGTCCAGATTCCTAATCGTGGTTATATGTTTTATCTTAATTTCAAGAGTTATTCTTCTAAAACTGATTGTTCCAGAAAAGAAGTGTGTGTCACTTGCAGTATGATTAATTGAGAAAAATGAGCACCAAGGACATGTCTCCAGGTACACTAGTTTACCCTCACCACCAGAAAAACAGACTTTTACGACGTGCAATGCGTGTCGTAAAACGCTCAGGCAACGCGCAAATGCGTGTCAAGGAATGCTCTGCAATAACGAGAGATGAAACGCTTTTGCGCGTCGTCTATGTACGACGCGCATTTAGGACGCACATTTATGACACACATTCACAACGCACTGTTATGACACGCAATGCGTATCAAGGAAGGCCATATTATAAAGGAAGATGACACACATTTCAGTGTCGTAACCTTACAACGCACGTGTTTGATACGCAATGCGTATAAAGGAAGCCCCTGTCATAAAGGAAGACGACACACATTTTTGCGTGTCATAATTTTAAATGTTTTTAAAATTAAATGTTTTTAAAATTATGTATTTTTGATAGATTTATTAATTTTCAAATTAAATAACACATTAAAAGTCTCATAACACAAAATAAAATACTGTAAACAATAAAAATAATTCATTGCACTAATATGTCAAATACAAATAATCATTCTAATAGTAAGTAAATGTAACACATTGCTAATATTGCATAATATTTATTTTAGAAAACCAAACATGTACAACATTTAAAGAAACCCGTGATTAAATTCTCCTTTGACAATTTCCTTTCTAAAAGAATAACCTGAATAGATAAATTGCAGTGTAGTCTATAACAGGTTCTGAGATAAAGTTGGTTGCCCGTGAATACCATTCTGGATCTTCTTCCTACTCGAAAGATAAAGATAAATATAAAACAAATTAATCAAGTTTCTAGATAAATATTTGAAAAAAAAACTTGTGGAATAGATAATTTTTATATCGCTATATGAAAAAAGGTATTGGTATACATACTTGAACATGTATTAACCATTTTATCAAATAGAAGCAATTTGGCAAATGTCAACAAACAGTTTGATAAACACCAGATTTAGCAAATAGCATAGATCATATTCCATATAACTAAATAATTACTTCATTTTGGATTTCAATTTTGAAAACTAAAATATTGATTATTTCCGTAAATATCACAATAATCTCAAGTAAATGGACTATTTTATTTCAACATATAATTACCTTACTAAGGAGAATAGTTTGAACCCTTGATGTCAATATATGATCCTTGTTGAATGGAGTCCTTTCCAGGGGTATACTTACTATTTATCACAGTTTTTGCATGGTAACTTTCATGAAGAAGACATAGTATTATAAAGATAACAATTGTAAAAACGAAAAAGGACCTGCAAATGTAGAAGGATACTTTGATTTCATTGGTATCACCTATCCTTTTGTAATTCACCTTTCAAAACTCTAAAACAAAATATAAGAATACTCATTAGATTCAAAACTAAACATTAGTTAGTTTGACTCAAAATCGACACCTAAGTTTTATTATTATTATTATTATTTGGCATAGAATAAAATGTGGTTACGGATTATACATTGAGGAGCTCTCCCACATTAGTAAAATCAACAGATACTAACTATTATCTAGTCACATAGTCAGTATTAGTATGTCTGCTATATGGAATGACAAAGAATGGAATAAACAAGGTAAAAATTAAACAAACTAATAAAACATCATTAAAACCCAAATTAGATTATAATAGGAAAATATGTCTTCTATATGCAATGAATAGGAATGGAATCCAACAGCCAGGAATGTAATTAAGTTTGTTACTCAAATATGATCGGGCATTAAACTTAATGAGTGAAACCTCAAGATATTCATTCACAGCAAGACTATAGTGCAAACAAAAAAAAGACTGTTAAAAATGTATGTATGTGATGCAACAAGTATTCATTCACTTCAAACTAATCAAGAATAAAACATTATATGAAACCTCAAGATATTAGTAAAATTTTGTTTTTATAAATGTAAAAAAATAGAAATTCTTATTATTAAACTTACTGAGTTCTAATGAGCTTTTATTGTGTTAAACTTTTTTGTTTTAGTTCATATGAAAATTCGTTCATTCATATTTATCACCAAAACAACATCATGGGATGTAATGACTGATTCCATTCCATTGTACCAGCCCTATGCAATCAATGCCTGGTGTAGCTAGGACATCATCCGCTGTTTGTTCAGAAACTGATTCCTTGCCTTGTTGACTATCGAGTTGGGAGACCTATACATCCTCTATGATGGGTAAATTGGTAAATTCTTATATCAGTTAACTAACTTGACACCCAAATAGTAACAAGTTTTTTTTTAAAAAAAAAAAACATGAACCAAAAAGAATATGAACAAACCAAACCTTATCAATCCCTGATACACGATCTGTGCTTGATAGAATCTCTTTCTTTGGTGTGAAGTCGAATACCTCATGAAGAAATTCATTTTCCTGTACAAATTGAATCAGTCATTTACATAGAAATGTGCTAAACATAAACAATATTTTTTCTATTGTGATCATAGTTTTACATTCTGTAATGTAAAACATTAATAATAACAAGCTTTTTGAGATACTAGTAATCGAACCTACATGTGCTTCACAAATCCTCCACCAAGAAATCGCTTCAAAAAGTTCAACTGTCAAAACACATGAAATATAAAAAGGGTATTCATGTCTTTTGCACATTAAAGAGTTCCATCAACATCAAACACAATAGGAGCAAAAGAGCACTAAGTTGGGACCATGTTGTAGTTGTAAACGACTCTCCACCAATTTTCACGGAGGTTTCAGGGGCATAACCGTCCTAAACTCATCAAAATAAATAAATAATAAATAATAAACACATGTATATCGAATTATCGATCATTTCAAACAAATTAATAGAAAAATACCTCACGAAATTCAAGAATATCCCTGAAGGTGTTGCGTTGGCTGTTGAGATCTTTTTTGGCAGAACCCTTCCCAACGGCTTCAGTAGAAAGATTTCTTACTTGATTTACCACTTTTTCCCTCAAACCCTGTATGTGGGTAAGTAACATCATGAGAATTAATGCCATCAGTGGCAGAAGTGTCATTTAATATGCTTAGGATAAATTCGCAAAATTTAATCTGTGTGTATATGATAGGGATGTAGCTTTAGAACAAGTAGAAAAATTACAATATTACCCTCTAGGGAACAAGTAGACTTACCACTTCAGATGCATCAGGAGTGAATTCAATAAAAGATCCAATACCCCTGTTCAAGATGATGACAACATTATAACTGTGTCTAAAAAATCAAATAACGACATAGAACATTACTTGAGGGCAACCACTTTAACATTACTACTAATCTCATCTTGTAGGAACTTGAGTAGAAGTGCTTGTAAATCAGCAAAATATCGGTTAATGAGCTGAACAATATCAATGCCACCTGGCATCATAGAATACAATTTACCTTAAAAAACAGTGAGTTATAATAGGCTCATTGGATCAAAAAAATATAAATATTTAATAACCTGAAAGCCACAAACAACAGTCTCATCTCCTTCATGAAGAACACCATTAACCAATACCACATCCATGGTTGCTCCAAGACCTTCTATCACTTTAACCTCCAACACCGTGCACTTGTGGGCACAAATCATGAGAAACTCAGTAAGAAAAGAAGTCAGAGGTTTATATGGGGTTACAATTAATTACCTGAGTGATCCTATGTTTGAATTCAAGTTGAACATCATAAAATTTCTCTGTTTTTGTGATTTGAGTAGCATTGGTGGAAGGAGATTTTCCATTTACATGTGGCTTTGACTTCTTTGACTAGTACTTGGGTCGTTTTGTTGATGTTGATGCTGATGCAGACAAACCACAACCAGGAACCATTAATGGAAAAAGTTTTTATTTGCTAGTCATCAGGTTGGAGGTTGATAACCAGCTTCTTTGTCACTTATATTCATGGTGGAAATTTATCGATTAGGCAAGAAGGAGTGAGAACGAAGTCGCAAGAAAAAAAAAGAGACACTGGTGTCTGAGATTAGGGTTCAAGCGTAATAAAGACATGTAGAGGATGAAACATCAACCATATTTTGACTTATTTCTCAGAAGAAAAACATCACGAACATGATAAAAATGATCATATTGAACTCTTTCTGAGATTGGCTTGAGGATAGTGATTAGTGAATCAAACATCCATAAATTTCTTGACTTAGAAGAAGACGATGATTATCAATAATATTTTTTTCAAAAATCAATGGCAAGAAAAACAGAGAGAGAGAGAGAGAGAGAGAGTGCAATTATCAGACGAAATCTTGAGACTGTAACGTTAAACTTGATGTACATTGATTGTTCCATAGTCTTCTCCATCTCCGTTAATTCTTAGGTCTCACATAAATGGAATGGTGATGGTGGATGAAGTGTTGGTCGAGAGGGCCTGAACATCATCGTCGTGTGAGGCCTGAAGAGTCGGTGTGGGTTGGAGGTAGTGGAGGTGGGTGAGAGGCGGAGACGAAGGAGAGGATATGTTAGAGAACAGATCGATACGAATGTAGGAGAAGAAAGCGAGGTTTAAAATTTTTGGGATTTCATTTTCCCTATAAGAAGATAGACGCGCATTTCTTAAAAAAATATAAAACGACATTCACAGAGGACGCACATTTTAGATAAAGTGTCATCCGTGTTGGGTTTAGATCACCCTTTTGTAGGGGACCAGCGTCTTCTATTGGTTGTATCACTCTGAGGATACATCCGGATGGCGCCAAATGTTGTTACAAGCTCCACAGGGTTTGGATGTCGAATGATGGATTTGTCCCGGAAGCTTTTCTGAGAACACAACACAGAAGAATCGTTAAAGGATGTCCGGGTGTTCTCCTGGGATTCCACTCTGTGACAGCCCGAAATTTCTATTATTTACAAACATGTCAAGTTAATAGAAGTCAGACCAGTTGCTGTTAATTTTCAGACTTTTTAGAATAAGTTTGAGTATTTCAGGATTTACACTTTAGGAGATATCAGGAGATAGGATGCCCTAGAGTATTTTTTGCATCTTATAAGTTTCAAAACTCCAAGAGTTTGGAGTTTACGGCTCAAATGATATATTTGGACCAAAAACTCCATGGACTATATAAAAGGCACTTAGCCATTTTTAGTTCATTTCTTCCATTTCAACTAGAGAAAAGCCCGAATTCTCTCTCAAGGATCTTCAATCTTTTGCCCCAAATTGTAAGTACTTCAACCCTAGAGTGTTTTAAAGCTTACTACATGTTTAGATATCATTGAAATCACTCAAGAATCACAAGAAAAAGGAGTTTACGGCCCAAGATCTTCTTGGACTGTAAAATCTATTTTGGGTGCCAAAGTGCTCCCAACTCTTCCCTTATGCTTAGAAACTAGTATGGAAACCTTCCTTGATGGTTTTAGCACCTGAAAAGCACCATAAAACCCCATTTATATGTGTTTACGGTTTGGGGATCTCCCAAAACTGTAAACACCCCAAAGAGTGTTAAAATGCACCATATTCCTTCCTTATGCCTAGAAAACTAGCCTAGACTTTTACCTAGAAGTGTTTAAGACTTGAAAACATCAAAATACCATTTTCCATAGGAGTTTACGGCAGCAAACACATGGAGAAATGGTCCATGGGCCGTAAACTCAATTTAGGAGTGTATTGATGCCACAAACACTTCCAAAGGCTTAAACATGAAGTAGGAATGCATGAAATGACTTAGAAGGTTTCAAATCAACAAATGGTCAAAAGGTTATGAGCTTACAGCCGTAAACTCAAGGGTTTACGACCGTAAACTCAATGGGTGATGGTCTTTAGGGAGTAAACTCATATTAGGGGTTCCCTTGAACCCTAAGCTCAATAGCGTTGTCCTACAACACCTAGATGCAATCCTTAGCACTTAAAACACTTATATAAAGTGTTTAACATGTCTTAGGATGCCTTAATTTTTTTATTTAATTGTTTAAACGCTAATTGGTTACATATATGTGATATTGTATGTTAACTAGGATCATAGTGTGTGTACAAGTCTTCACTTGACACCTAGCATCCTATACAGTCCGTTCAATCCCAACTACTTGCTACAGGTGAGTTCATACCCCTTGAATTAACCTTTTAAATGTTTCTAAATGCTTTATGGGGGGAGGGTGGTACAAGTTAATCATGCCAGTTATTATATCAATCACATGTGATTAATAACTAACATGCAAATGGATTTACTATATGGTAATTGTTTTACCAAACAGATTTCTTCAAATGTTTATCTTAAATGTTTTTATATGTTTAAAACTCTTGATTAAACTGTTTATTATACACAGTATGTTTTATTTCAAACTGTTTTACAATTATGTTTCAAACAAAGGTTTCTTCATACTTAATCTATTTTATCAAAGCAAATACTTCCAAATCGCTTTATAAGCCGACATCAAGTCGATATTTTCTTAGATATTAATCTTTTTCAAAGGTCTTACAAAACTTATTTTATGCTTTAATATTGTTAAATGCATGTCTATGTAGGTATAGTTATATAAGAAATGTTTGAAGGGCTTAGGAAGGCTAGCTCGCTTTATCTCCTTTTCCTCGTTGGGATGTGGCTTTAGGGTAGCGGTTATCCGTCCAAATGTCGTCTAAATATTAGTTATATATCATGTATACATATGTTGACATAAAAGTTCTCCTCAGTCAGTACAGTACCTTTGGGTAACAAAGGCATACTTCAGGTTATACACGTTCATTGTTAGTAACTATTATAGGTATAGTTAAGAGATATTACTTACCATTCCAAGTACAAGGAATCACACAAGAGTCGGTTCATTCATGAGTCTATACTACTACATAGATACATTTACATGATTACGCTTACATGAGTACGTTTACATAGATACGCTTACATGAGTACGTTTACATAGATACGCATACATGAGTGCGTTTACATATACAATAATAGGACATACATAACTAGGTGCTATAACATGGAACGATTTCAGGATCTAACTATACCAATTAATCGCAACGCGTTGTGATAGTTATATTGGGTATACATGATCATAGTAATGTGGATGTTCGTGGCTTACAAACATGCAGGGGTCGCGTGTGGGTCCTAAAATCTCTTTGACAGGGGAACATCTAGCCTGGGATCTCGCCATCACATTATGCCTTATCCCTCAATTAAGGCAAAATAGTACAAAAGTAGTCACTTATTACAAATACTACAGTACTAACGACAATTACAAAAGGATATAAAGCTCCAGTAATATTATTAATACCTTTACTATGTGGCATATTCACATGATCGATGAGGTAGATTAGAATAATGACTACTTTCATAACAGTCGGGTCTTGATAGAAGATTACTTTCAAAATAGTCGAGTCTTGGTAGAAGACTACTTTCAAAACAGTCGGGTCTTGGTAGAAGACTACTTTCAAAACAATTAAGTCTTGGTAGTTACTTATTGAAATACTGCAATATTATAATATTTTCCCGTAACATTCACTTCGTGAACATTCACACGATGCACGTAATGTAAAAGCTATGTTTTTGGTCAATGATAGTCGGATTTGGGAAAATACACACTCTTACAAGAGACACACACATACACTAGCTGCCTTGGTAGAATGCTACTATTAGTAGGAAACACAAGGTTTCTTGGTGGTTCAAAACTTTTACATACTTACACTTCACATACTAACAAATACTTTCTTAGAAATTCAGACACTAAAATACTTATGAACTCACCAGCTTTAAAGTTGATACTCTCTTTCAAAATAACTTGTATCCTCATGTCAACAGTAGACAGGTACCGACACGAGGTTTAGAGAAGATGGAGCTTGTTCAAGACTCATCTTTCATTTTGATTTATACTTTAGTGTCTATTAAACATATCAGAACACACTTGTATTAAAATTATATTATTAATGCAATGGATGACGTTGTTGCTTGTTTACTACTATTTATTGTTGTGATACTGTACATGACGTCCTCCATCCCAGAACGTTTCTGCCGTTCATGGTTTTGGGGTGTGACAGATTGGTATTAGAGCATTGTTTATAGTGAATTAAGTATATTAACCCATAAAAGATATACAGACTATAAATACAATGGGATTAAAAATACTCTGACCAAGAGTTTATAATTTAAATAATAAAATATTTAATTAAGTATACGTACCTGCATTCATACTAAAATCAGTGTCACTAGGACAGTACAAAAGAATTATGATTGTTGGGCAGCACAAGTAGACTTAGCGACATATAGTCAAAACTGGGAAGATATAGCCTGATCAACTATATTATCCGAGGGTTGACTAGCATGTGCCTAAGTGTAGTTGTGAGGTTGCAACAAGTCTAAAATCTTACCAACAATACCACAATGAGAACAATAGAACATAAACCTAAAATACTATAGGAGTATTTGGTGTTACTATAAGTACTTTATACTTGAGAACTAAAAAGGATCTTCATTACTAAGTTGATAGTTGCTAAGTGGATACACTAAGGCTATATGTAACTAGGATGTTATAGACTTAGAATCTGTGAAAATTCTGCTTTACCCCTATTCTTTGTTTTTGGAGTTAAGGTCACTTATTCGAAGGCCTATCCTATTTTGATTACATATAACTGATATGCACTTCACAAATAGTGATGTAA